TAACATGCACAGGAAGTTGACTCTTGGTGTCTTTGTCTGCGATTATCACCTCAGACAGATGGGCGTTGTCTCGTATGAGGTCAGCGTAATTTGGGTTTTCAACAGTGAGAAGTTCTGGTTTATTCACTTTGATGAACTTCACTGGCATTTGGTACTGTCCGTCAACGGATTCAGTGTTCAATTCGTATATGTCCATGCGTACACTCTTCGAGGACATAAGCATTTCAACTTGCCTTGTTTGTGTCGAAATAGGTTTCGCTTTCACTACTTCTATGAGTTTCGCTGAAATATATGAGCTCCCAGATCCTGTATCGATTAACGCTCTACACTTGACTCCGTTCACCTTGATAACAATAACTGGCAACACGCTTTCGCTCGACTGGTTTGTAGTCATAACTTGCTCCTTTCCTTCGACTTTTGATGTATCACAGATGGAAGTGTGGTGTCGTTTTCCACAATTTTGACAGGATCCCTTGCTGGAACACTCAGCTGCACGATGGGTTCCAATCGCACAATTGAAGCATAATCGTTTTCTTGCTAGAATTTGTTTCCGTTCTGTCACACTAGTAATCTTGGTGCAGTTCCCTGCTTTATGAGTTACGTCACCGCAATAAACGCATTCACGTGACTTCGCATGAAAGGATTTGATTTGTCGATCTTTATCTCGATCTGTACGACTTTGGTCCACCGGGTTCCTCTTGACCCACTGGCGAACTGCCTCTGATAATTGGACAAAGGTCCACCTCTCCCAGTCAGGGTCTGTTCGAACAAGATCCCCCCTAATCCCGGGGAGTTTGTCCAACGTCATCGCGACGTTGCCGTTAACCTGACTCAGTCTGTTCATTGTTTGCAGTGCTTGCACACAATGGTTAAGACGCTCACTAAAATCTCGAATTTTCTTGGGGTTTGCACCGTGAATATATGGCAAATCCATTATATCCTTGACATACGACTTAATAATTTCCGATTCTTTCCCATAGCGATCTTTCAGGATAGATTTTGCCCTGTTGTAGCCTTCAGTAGTGAAGGGTAATGAATCAATAACATGCTTTATCTTGGGGTCAAGCAACTCACAGAGGTAGGTAAATTTCGTGATGGGGGGCATATTAGTTTTATCGACTGTTTCTGTAAACTGTCCCCAGAACCTTTGCCAATCTTGAAAATCTCCACCAAATTTTGAAATAACTAACTTCGGTAGTTTAGCTAATGTACTTTGTTGCGACTCACCTTGCAAATTCCCCTCTTTATTTATCGTCAGTGTTTCCACTTTCGCACTTGCTAACTTCGTCTCGAATTCCATTCTTGTTTTGAAAAGCATTGTTTCAAATTGAATTTGTTCTTCTCTCGCTACGTTATCCTTCTCCTTTCGACGCTGATCAAGCCATGTTCTCAGTTCTTCGACGACTTTATCCGACTCCGCTAGTTTATTGTCGATTTCCGTGTTCCAAGTTGTAATTTCCGTAATGTCTGTCTCGGCTTGTATTTTAATCTCTTCGACAGCTACTCGCATTTCGTTTATGCTATTTGTTATAGATTTGATAGTAGCACGATTGCATCTTGTTGATTCGATTCGACAATCGTACCTGTTCGATCTACAGTAAGCTTTAATTGTTTCAACTTCGTATCCAATTTCTTCGCTTCCATGTTTCCACTTTATAATCTCGCTTAAAATCTCGCTTAAAATCTCGCTTAAATCTCGCTTAAAATCCCGTCGTCGAGGTGCCACTTGTAGAAAATTACTCTCAACAGCCTCCGTAAATAATTTCCCACAAAAATAATAATACTGTAAAGTTTAATACATAATAAATCTCATATAAATCCCGATACTGAGTCACTCGCTTCGACTCCTCACAACAACAACACATGTGCTTCCCGCCAAAATTTCCCCAACCCGATTTTAGGGTGGGTGTTTCCATGCAAGTGTTTCCATCATTCAGATGGTGGCAGAAGGTACAGTAGACACAAAATATGGACGATCCGTGCAGATCGTGCAATGGTTTACGGATTGTGAGCCTAACAATCCGAGTGTATCCACATGGGGGAACAAGGTAAACTCCTACAGTAGATAGGGACGACCAGTGTGGATGGTGTTACGGAACATGAACCAAGTTTCACGAACTGTGAAAGAATCCACATGCATGGTAGCACAAGGTAGACTCCCAGATATGGGCAATCCGTGTGGATGGTTAACGTATGGTTTACGGATCATTAACCTGCTTTCACGATCCATGAAAGCATCTACATGGGTGGAACAAGGTAGACTCCTAGATATGGACAAGCTTGACGTTTCAGTGCAAATATTTGATTTTAAAAGAGATTTTGGGCATAAATAAAATTCTTATTACAAAATGATGGTGAAAATCTGAATTTCCACATTGTTATTTAAAACGCCATATTGTATCGATCTGGTTTCAAGTTTATTACTCAATTACAATGGAGCAAGGACCTTAGGCCGTGGGCTGCTGGCCAAAATTATTTCGCTTTGTGGCACCCGTGTAGGAAATACTTGGTTTGGGGTTTATTTGAAAGGCATATAGGTACATCACTACCAAAAAAAGTTCCCAAGCAAAAAAGTTGCCCAATCCCGAGAAAATGGGTGATCAATGATTATCCTCTAATAAATTGTATTACAGCAAAAAATGTGAAATTCTGTATTCAATTACAATAAAAATGACTTGCATCATCGGAAAACGTAGAAAAAACCGCATATAAGACTTTTAAACAGTTTTTTGATTTTTCAAATAGTCTTTGAGTTATTGCTGTTTTAAATGTGAAAATTAGACCAAAATGTCGCAATAAGGACTGGGTACTAGGTCAAAAACGCGTTTTTGACAGCGTATAACTCGAAAACAATTTTAGATATAAAAAAACTGTTTAAATGTCTTATATGTAGGTTTTTGTAAGCTTTCTGATAATGCAAGTCATTTTTGTTGTAATTGAATACAAAATTTTACATTTTCTTGCCGTAATACAATTCAATAGAGGATAATCACTGATCACCCATTTTCTCGGTGTTGGGCAAGTTTTTTGCTTGGGAACTTTTTGTGATATGAATTGAACCACAGAAAATCTATTTCCCAGGAGGGTGCCACGAAATTGCTTTTCTAGGCACTTTTTCGCACAACAGCCCACGGCCTGTTTAAATAGTCTGACAGTATTTTTAGTTAATTTGTATTTGTTTGATTGTGTAATTGTCTCTTGGGCAATAATTGGTTTCTACACTCTGTTGCGGACACCCTTGGAATCTTGTATACTTGTTGTAGCTGTGTGTGTGTGTTTATGTGCAGTACCGTACATGATGCAAAAGCAATTAAAAAAAGAGATACTGTAGTCTGTTGTAGTTATACGACGTCCAGTATATATAAATGCTATACCATGCAAAAAATCGTTCAAATCTTGAATAATCAGCATGCAAGTGTATGCTCTTCAAGTAATGTGATCAACGCACACTAATATTCATACTGTGCTACGTCTAATCATAAAAAATCCAGAAGACACGGTCTTCTGGATTGTCTATACGGTTTAAACTTAAACGGTAAACTTAAACGGATTCGACTGCCATAAAAATACATTAAGGTAATTCCGCAGTTTTGCATTGCGCACTTTTACTGCGCACATCTTGTAACTTATAATTTCATCCATTATACGTATACCGTTTAAAACAAATCATTTTATGACAATTTTATGTTACTTCAAAACATCTTTGGTTACATTCGTGCAAAGAATTACGTTAAAATCAATGTTTTCAAAAAAGGCATACAAAAGTGTAGCTAGGGTTCCCTGTGTCTGTAGTATATTTATTTACTTGTATTTCACGTTTTAATGCCACAATTCTCTAAAAAGATCGGTGACCCCCGTTTTTTAACTGATAATTTATTTTTTTAATGCATTTTACATTTCATATCCGAAATTAAAAGAAAAATCATTTCTGGATCTTGAAAAAAAATCCTTTATCAATGCATGTTCTCCAAGAAAGATATGTAAACAAATGTGGAAAAGACATTTATATATCAGAATTGTACTGGTTAGTAGTTTCATTTTGCTCAAAACACAATATTTTTTCAAAAATAATTACAAGATCAGTTTACAAAAGCAAAATCCGCGCTAAAAACGTCAATAAATATCGGGCTGCATGTTGTGATTTTGCTGTTACTCGTAATGAGCGTCAAGATGGTGCCATATTGGGGTAAAGGTGGTATATTGTGATTGTCATATCTTCTTAATGAGTTCGGTGACCCCGACTTTTTTGTGTGATTTTACTTTAAGTATATCATAAACTCCATGCCTGGGAAGTTTCAGCACATTCTCATTTCGGGAACAATTACTGCGGAATTACCTTGAGTAAAACTTAAAACGACGTTTCGAGCAAAGGCCCTTTGTCCGGACGTTAGAAGAGAAGTTCGCTACCGCTGACTGTAAATTCCCGACGAAGGGCCTTCCCTCGAAACGTTGAAGTTTGTCTTGTATTTTTCAGGGAGTAGAATCCCTTTCAATCCACAGCTTTCAGAGGTAAACTTACTTGCATAATGAGCTTGATCGTGCTGCCATTCCAAAATTGCTGCCAGAATATTTCATTCTATTTGTTTCAGCTACCTAGAAGTATAGTGTTTTCACATATTCTTACAGAATTATTACAGCACCTATATAGCATACTGTAAATTGTTACCTTCACTTATTTAGAATATAAAACATTAAAGAAATTTTGAATTTTGATCAGCTTTTTCAATCTTTATTACGTTTTTTCGTTATATTCTTACACAACATGTGAAAACATTATTAATGATATACTTACTTTACTTATTGCTTTAATTAAGATATTTCCTATATAGTGAAATTGCTGAAAGTTGTTTGAACATTGTTCAAAATGCACTGTAGTAAGATATATTAATTCACTTTTTCATTCCTCTTACAGTTTACGACAAAAACTCTCTTGCCAAATCCTTAGTCTACAGAAAAGTACTACTTAGTAGGGTCAAAGTCTTACATCCCGTGACCAACCTCCGGCTAGTAAAGTTTTATGATTTATTTTCATTATTTAGGGTATTTATGACAAAATAAGCTTCCATGCCGGTCTTCAAAATCTGGGCAACAATCTGCAGAGCGAAAAATTAAAAAATGGGATCGGCGGCCATTTTGAATCAATAATGTTTTTAGTAAATGGTATCGGTCTTGTCAAAAATACTTATTTGTGCGCTTTGCAATAAAATTTCGTCATAAAACAAACATTAGGAGCCTATTTAATAAAAACCCCGAAGTAAATATCCAAATTTCGCCAAGAAAACGTGTTTCATTTTTAACCTAACTATATTTATATTACATGACGTACATACCATATTAATTGAGGAAGCCATATTAATTTTGCATGTTTATGGAAATATGACGGGATAATATGCAAATTTAACATGTAATGTGTTGTTTCCATCTGTTTTCTTTATGTTTTTCTTGAAAACTGTAAAATATGACTTCTAAAACACAGTTTTCTTGTCTTCTTCAATGCCAAAAACCGTGTGATGCATCAAATGCAATCGACAACTTAGGTGAAGAAGCATGGGAAAAACTCAAACTTAAAGCCTTTAACTGGAAAGGTCTTGATATGTTCGGAAATGTGTATGACACTGTGAATTGGCAACAGGGGCCCAGTGGTAAACATGTGCATGGTAATTGTCGTTTTGACATATCTAGCTCAGATAAATTGAATAGAGCAAAGATCAGGCAACAAAAACGTGAAAGAGACTCATCTTCTCATGAATGCCCAGATGATCACGACTTGGCAGGACCTGCACCAAAATGTCTCCGATCGAGCGTGGGTATCGTACATGACAAAAATCTCTGTGTGTGGTGTATGAAACCTGAAGACACCAAGCATCCTGAGCGCACGGGAAAATGGCTTCTTATTTCGTACATACCGGCATGGAATGTCTTTAAAAGCCACACCGTAGTTCTTCAGGATGATGCCATGAGAGACAGGATCAACCGCCTTATCGATTCAATAACTGACCCCTTTTCAACTGAGATCAGATACCATCATAAGTGTTGGCTTAAGTACATTGGCGCCTATCAAAAGATTCCTGTTGAACAACAGCATAATCTCGTAAACGATGTGACATTTCGTGAGGCACAGACTATGTTTATAGATCATGCTCGTAGGGTTATTTTTGAGGACCATGAGATAAGGACCCTGCAAGGGCTGCTACATGATTATAAAACCATTGTGGGTAATTATGGCTTCCCAACTACCGGGGCGAAATCGAGCTACATGAAGGAGATATTATTACGGGAATTTGGAGTGGGAGGGAATAGGTTTCCATGTACGTGTTCAGAAGAATCAGAGCGAGGTTGTCTACGATACGGCAGGTGGCGCTTCATACATTGAGTCCACTATCTGCTCACTTGGAATAAGCAATGAACAACTAGTAGAGAACGTGGCTAGTAGACTGAGGAAGGAAGTCAAACAAACAACAACAATTCCCTGGCCACCACAAGTTGTTGAGCTCGAGCAGGAGGAAAATCTCCCACCTCTTCTTGTTCAACTTATCTCATCACTCAAAAAACCTGGTCAGGTTGAGCAAGATGCCAAAGTCCGAGCTCTAGCTTCAATGATCACCTACTATGTCACTGGGAGTCCAACAACTACTGCAGTAAACCTGAGTATGAATTTGCACGGTCTTACTCGTAGTAAGGAGTTAGTTGACACATTCCACAAATGTGGTGTTGGCATTAATTACTCGTCAGTTCTTCTGTTGCGTGACGCATGGGCGGTGCATGACATCCAGCTCTGCAGTGAGTGCCCCAACGAGATTGCGGAAAACACACCTGGAGTCATAGTCGTCGACAACGATGATTTTCAAAATGACACATTGACTGGTGGTGATACATCACATCGTACTAACGTAATGTATGTTCAACCGGTCTCTCTTGAACATCCTGATATTCAGTCTGGTGAACGTGTCAAAAATGCTAAAACCCTTTCGTCACGCCTAAAGAATATCGCAACGGGCATGAACACACACGATCGTTACGTTACCTACAAGCGAGGAGAGCCGACAGTCAGTGTTAGAGTAGAGCCTAAAGTTGGGAGTACAGTTCCTCAAAGAAAACGGTGTGTTATTCACACACTCGTCCGTGCTAATGCTGCTGGTGAGCGGCCTCCTACCGTTGATCAAATGGTACCTGCTTTTGCTAGCTTCCAAGCATTGATCTCAACCTCCGTAGAAAAGAGCAAACCTTACTACTTCATGACATACCCAGATCCTCCGAAAGAGGCGGTTCTCAACGATGTTCTGGTAAAGGCTAATAAAGCAATTCAAAGAAAGAACATGCCATCTGTGGTCGTTTGAGATCAACCGGTGTACACACTGCTCGTTGAGATCAAGAGTGAACATCCAGAGAAATTCGAGAAAATCATTCCATTCCTTGGTCCCTTCCATATTCAAGGTTCTATGATCTATGCCATATATAAGCGTCATAAAGGAAGTGAGATAGCCGATGTTTTAGTTGCTGCTGGTGTCATTGCTGAAGGTTCTGTTGATCAAGCTTTGAGAGGGAAGCATTATAAGCGAGCTCTGCGTTGCCTAATGCTAATGTACGAGTCATTTATGCATCTCCTTCTAAACCAGTTCCACGAGGAATCGCAGCTTGAGGCTTCCACGATGACTAGACTTGCTATACTCCGTGATCCAAAGGCAAACTCTCAGGACTCCCTCGCTACTGCTCAAAAGGAACTTGAGAATGATCCAGCCGTAGATACTCTTATAAACAACATGTTTGATAAGATTGAGAAGACAGACATGGCTTGCTACTGGCTTGACTTTATGACAATGGTCGAGATTTTGATGATGAATGTGTATGCCATTCACACGTGCAACTGGGACGAATTCCTCACCTTTCTGCGAGAGATGATGCCTTGGATGGTGATCTACGATCAGACACACTACGGCCGCTGGCTACCACATTTTTGGGCTATGCTTTCGTCACTATCTCCGGATCAAACGCAGTTCTTCAGTTCAAACTTCGCCCAGTCTATTACAGGTAATCCATATTCATGCATCCCTTGGGACATGTGGATCGAGATGACCATGAACAAGGGCTCAAAGTTAAAGGCTGGTTGGCTGTCAATCCTCCGTAATGAGAAGCAGCTGATGACTGACATCAGAAATGCCAACAATCTTGGTCGAGTTCGCACCGCTGTTCACAATCAAAACAACAGAAAGCAAAAATCACGAAAACATTCTGAGTGTGCTCCCACAAGAATGTGCAAGGACGAACAAGCTGTCCAGGATCTCGTTGCATGCATCAAGGAGTTTGATTGCTTCCCTTTTGACGTGTCATCACCAAATCTACGAACCTTGCAATCAGCAATTCCCGCTCCAACTGAGATGATCCGTGATTTCCAGACAGCCCAAACAAGATGGTGAAGCAAATTTGAAAGAATTCATGGACGAGCGTGTTTATTCGAAGGAAAAGTCTCTGTATGATCGTATCAAGCGTCACTCTCGTCTCACTTTCGCTAAAGCACCAACGACCAAAACTGGCGAAGTCCTTAAAGTTAAACAGGGAGAAATGGAAAACAGAGCTTTGGCGTCTGTAGTTAATCTTGTTGATGTCAGCGGCTTGATGATGCTTTCTGATGTAATGAAATACCGCATAACTGAGGGGTGTCTCACGCTATTCAATGTTAATGGTACCTTCAGGAAGACACAGAAGAGCAAGGTACTCCAGAAACTGACATAAGAGCCAATTGATGTCTCATCTTACACCGCGCTGGTTGACATGGGGATGATCTGGCGACTTGCATCTCCCACTATGGAGGGCCGAGAAAAGAACAATGGGTCTACTTATACCTGGGGTGACTACACCGACAAAGTTACCAGCATGCTACTTGCACGCCATGTGGACGCTACTACCATTATCTGCATTAACGACCCATATGATCCGACGTTGAATCCATCAAAGATGACGAGCGTGAGTCGCGTATCCAGGGGCAAGGTCATATTCCCAATGTGTATATGAAATCAACTGGCAAGTTTCCATCAGCACGAGGTTTTAAGACCTTTCTCTGCAGTTCCGGGAATAAGAGACGTCTGCAGGCACTTATTAAGTCTCAACTATCTAAAGTTATCCAGTCAATCAATCAAGTCCTGCTCTATTCAGTTGGCGTAGAATGTGTAAATCTCTCATCTGGTAGTATTCAACAAGACCTTGCCTTCGATCAGTGCGAGGCTGACACCATCATACTGTCATTTTACACAGCTCTGAGGGCGTCTGGTTACAATGACCCTGTGATCATAGATGCAGCGGACACAGATGTCTATACATACAGGCAGCTGCCATTTCGCACGATGTTCCTGGTATAATCTGCATCAAGAAAAAGAAGGAATTGCTTTTCTGCAGAGGCATGTGTGCTGACGAGGACATCGCTAAATGTCTTATCCAATTCCATGTCATGACTGGCTGTGATGCAAATAGCTGCTTTTATGGTCATGGTAAATCGACCCTCTATGACAAAATGGTAAAGAGTGTTGAGTGCCGCAGACTTCTTTCAAGCTGTGGGGAGAGCCTTCCTTTAAAAGAAGATGTTCTAAATGACCTCGTATCTTATGTCACACGGTTTGTATACGGTGGTGTACATAGTTCTTCTCTGGATATTACCAGAGCAGCTAAGTGGAAAGGGCAAAAGAACAAATCCTTGATGCGTCTTCCACCCGACTCGGACAATCTAAAGCAGCACATTCTCCGAGCTAATTACTTGGCCTACATCCAACGTCATCCTGAACTAAGAACTCATCCCTCACCTGCTGGTCACGGTTGGGAACTCATCGATGGGTGTTGTAAACCAGTGAGACACACGCAACCTCCGCTTCCTCTTACCTTATCCAACACTTTACCTCCACATGACTCAGAGATTGATTCTGAGTTTTCCGACGTGATAGACTCTGATTTGGACACCTCATCAGATGAAGAGGACTGAGTTGACTGATTGTTTGCAAAGCTCATGTATCTTTTTGTAAAACGATCTGGCATATAAACATTAAATTTTGTTACCGATTCTTTGTTTTCGTATGCTTGAATTGAGAATAGCTGCAGAAAGTAATTTCTTTCCCACGAATTATGTTATTCTATTATTATTACAATAAGTATTTTGATGACATCATACCCTTTGTTAAAAATATCATTTATATAATCACTTTTTCTCGGGTTTTGCATTAAATTGGCTCCTGATGCCTGTTTTATGACAAACTTTGATTTAAAAGTATAGAAATAAGTATTTTTGACAAGACTATGACATTCGCTAAAAAATAATTTATTCAAAATGGCCGCCAGTTCTAATTTTTAATTTTTTTGCTCTGCAGACTTTTGCCCAGATTTTGAAGACCGGCATGGAATCTTATTTTGTCATAAATACCCTAAATAATGAAAATAAATCATAAAACTTTACTAGCCGAAGGTTGGTCACGGGACGTAAGGCTTTGACCCTACTAACTTTAACCTGTGATACTCACCAATGTCCTCCTGAATTTTTTTCTTACATCTTCAGTGTTTGAACTCTTATAAAGTGTAAACTTGAGATGATCATTACTCTCCGTATTTACGTCACCATTGGTAAACTGAACTAGAATTTAAAATTTTCAACTGTGTTTCAAACAGTTATCTGTATCATACTGTATACGTACTGTACAGTATATATCACCTAAGGGTACGAGATACGGCTGTAGAAATCGAGTACTAATTACTAAATACTTATTCAACCAAGTTACTGTTCCGTAATATTGTAATTTATTTACAGTAGTTAGAAAAACCAACAAAGGTAGGACATGCGAGAACGGCAGAAATGACAGGAACAACCAGAACGCTAGAAACACCAAACACGCTAGAAACACCAAGAATGCTAAAAACACCAAGAATGCTAAAAACACCAAGAATGCTAAAAACACCAAGAATGCAAGGAACACCAAGCACGCTAGGAACATCAAGAATGCTAGAAACACCACAAACGCTAGGAACACCAAGAACGCTAGGAACACAAAGAACACTAGAAACACCAAGAACACTGGAAACACCAAAAACACTAGAAACACCAAGAACGCTAGAAACACCAAGAAAACTGGAAACACCAAAAACGCTAGGAACACCAAGAACACTAGAAACACCAAGAACACTGGAAACACCAAAAACACTAGAAACACCAAGAACACTAGAAACACCAAGAACACTAGAAACACCAAGAACACTAGAAACACCAAGAACACTAGAAACACCAAGAACACTTGGAAACACCAAAAACACTAGAAACACCAAGAACACTAGAAACACCAAGAACACTTGGAAACACCAAAAACACTAGAAACACCAAGAACACTAGAAACACCAAGAACACTGGAAACACCAAAAACGCTAGGAACACCAAGAACATTAGAAACACTAGCTGTCCAAGAACACTGGAAACACCAAAAATACTAGAAACACCAAGAACACTAGAAACACCAAGAACACTGGAAACACTAAAAACGCTAGGAACACCAAGAATGCTAGGAACACCAAGAACACTAGAAATACCAAGAATACTAGAAATACCAAGAATACTAGAAATACCAAGAATGCTAGAAACACCAAAAATGCAAGGAACACCAAGCACGCTAGTAACATCAAGAATGCTAGAAACACTAAGAACACTGGAAACACCAAGCACGCTAGGAACATCAAGAATGCTAGAAACACTAAGAACACTGGAAACACCAAGCACGCTAGGAACATCAAGAATGCTAGAAACATTAAGAATGCTAGAAATACCAAGAACGCTAGGAATTGAGCATGTGGCCCTGTGATTCTGGTGAAGCGCTCTAACCAACTGAGCTACAGAGGCCAGTTGTTGTGCTGTAATTGCAAGTTCATGTACAGGGTATACATAGATAAATCTACTGTATTATAGATGAACTTGTGGTTACAGCCAGGCAACAAATCTACAGTATAAGTACTGTATATATATACATGAACTTGCATTAATTTTACAGCTCGACAACTGGCCTCAGTAGCTCAGTTGTTTAGAGCACTGCACCGCAATAAAAATATTATTTTATTAATAAAGTTGAATCGCAGGGCCGCAGGTTGGATTCCTGCCAAAGGACCTAATGTTGCATTTTTCGCAACCATTCCTGGTTAGGTCTTAAATTGCGTACTATATAATGCTCACTTGGATTACCCACCAAATGCAGCTTTAAATTTTCCCAACAATTGCATAGCTCTGTTTTATATCTGATTCAATACTTTATTTTCCATGCAATTATATTTCATGCATATTTCTGACTTCAAAACAACAACATACCCGATATCTATGAAGTAATTGACATTTCATAATACAAGACAACACAGGAATATTATATGTGTCCGAAAGGGCGTCCAGTGAGGAAAACATTGTTAGGAGTGAAATAAACTCTTTGTTTAATAAAATCTATTTGTGAATTATCATGAGGAACAGCGCTGTATAAGACTAGATATTTGTTAAAAAAACTAAGGCAATTGCTTGCCAGAAACATTTTAAATGGCTGCAATGTTTTGAAGTGAGGTGGGCGCATATAATGGCCAACAATTTATATTCAGCACATGCGTCTGTTTTAAAAACTGGTCATAACTGGCTACAACCAGTTTATTTATCCAAACGTTGGATGATTGGTATTGTACATCACAAAGTGTTGATGAGACAGGCAGAGGTTTCTCTGAGAAGAGAGTTAAACAGAGTAAATGCGACTCAACAGGTTAAACAAAGCCAACATACTCAGACCTGGCCGTTTGAGGCAAGCGATCATGCACATGTGTGCCTCCGCATGTGCCTTGACTCATCAAGGGGCGTATTTTGTCATGTGCCTCATTTGTTTTTCGAGTATCAAGTGACTTTATTTGAATTGTCCAATTCTTCTTGCATGTAAAACACAAACAAGGCAATAATTACAGGGCTCAAAATAACGGCTGGTCAATGATGGGCCAAATGTGACCAACCACATTTTGGCTGTGGGAACGAGATCGATTCTTGTGCTGTTGTGGACCAGTTAAATATTATGTAAGGATTTTCTTCAAATTTAAGTTGAATTTCTTATGCCAACTGCTGATCAGATAATTTATAATAGGGCGTAAAAAAAAAATACCTGTGGTTCCGGTTCCCGACCGACCCTATTTTTTTTCTGCCGACCCTATTATTTTTTCAGCGCGATTGACCGTACGACCTTATTTTCTCCAGGTGGTTGCGGGCTGCTCATACAGCGTGCCAAAATGGCGTCTGTTGTCACACTAATTATTGAACCAAATTGCCTAAATTCGTCCATAGGAAATACGCATCTCTAGTTAATATTGATGTCGGGACTCTACTGCAAATCGCCCAGCAAAAAACCGCTAAAACCATGAAAAAAATATTAAAAAAAAAAAATTATTTCCGACCTACCGACCCTAATTTTTTCACGATATGAAACCGGAACCACAGGTATTTTTTTTTACGCCTAGATATATATGACAAAATTAAGATATGACAAAGTTTATTTAAAACTTTAATTGTGTTATCATTATACTGTGTGCATCTTGGTGTCAACATTGAGTGAGCAATGTGCTGCAGGGAGGCAAGTATTCATGGGGTCTCATGGGAGTTGACCAGTCAGAAATCACATTTGACCGGTCACCATGACCGGCGTAACATGAAATGTTATTTTGAGCCCTGAATTATAAATCAAGTTGTTGTTTAACATTTTTATGTTGTCCAACATTTAAGAATTACTTGTAATCATTGGACGATTATATATGATAATTGAACATACTCTCCCAACAGCTCTCTATACAGTCAGCAACAGTCTCACTAACACACAAATCTCTATCAAATGCTATTAAAATAGATAAATCCACACAAAGATCTCTGGACAATGGAACTCATACATACTTAACAGAGGATTAACAGACACTTCGTCTTCTTTTACCACATTAAGAATAGCAGTCATCTTCGGAAACAACCAAAAAATTACGGATTTTATATAAAACAGTCACCACAGTCACACTTTCAACTCTGTTTTATTGCCGCTAAATCACACATATTACATGACGTTTTTTGACTCTGTGATTGCATTTGCTGTTCAGTACCATTGCTGGCTCGTATATTGATCTTTCAAAACAACAAATTTTCTAGAGGTAGAAAACAGTTACTGTATGTCAAAAATTTAAGGAAGAATTTCAAACATTTAAATTGGAAAGTACTCAGCATTCTTTACAGAAATGCTTAGTTTTGAGTTTGGATAGCGATATAGTATCGATTGTTTTTGTATTGGCGTAATCGTATTTTTTGAGTGACAAGTATGCAAGATGACTAGCAGTAGTGGCGGTGATGACAGTGATGTGTTTAGTGAATCTCCCGCTACTTATAAAGAGGAAGATTTTATTGAGTTAAAATCACGAATGCAGGTATTAAATATCAATTATATCATGCTTTTGTAGAATGAATAAGAGCAAAGTAAGCTACTGTAGTATAAATATAGCACATTGCCACTTTATAAAGGGTTAACAGGGTCACAGGAATCATGTATTTTGCAGATAGCCCTATGAGATAGCCCGACTATTAACCATATTAAAGCGGCCCAATAGCTAGGCGGATTAAATATTTGACTAAAATATTCAAACTTTTAATAAAACTGTTTAACATGGCGAAAATATAAAAAATGTTTAGATAACAATGCTGTCAATGCATTTCTGCAGTTGGGGTTGCCTGCTATGGGCGACGTCACTCACTGCATACTAGTAAGTTATAGACTTATGAGTTATTCCTAAGGTTGGCAAGAAAATCAAATTAAACATTGTTAATTACCTTGAACTATCAAAAAATGCACAAAATATTTTTAGAAAATGCTTTCTCAAGCAATTATAAGCACATTTCACCGGTTTGTGTGAAAAAATGGGTTCTTAAAACAAACAAAAAATTTTTTGCCAATTAATTCAATGTTTTAATGGCATTATGCTGAATGCCTGCAATGAAGTACAAACCTCTACAAACAAGCATTGTCATATGACGAATGCACAATCTCGCTCCAATGCCATTGTGTATTCATTTCGTTGTATGAAAATGCTGTTTGTTTGGGCAGTCTATGGACTAACCTACAGTATTGATTGGCATCACTCTCCTCTTGATGAGTGAAATTGCCTGGAGTTAGACAGAGTAAAGTAATAAACTAGGGACATTGCCACTTAAAGGGTTAAGATAATTAAACATTTTGTTTTCCACACAAACACATCAGCACTTGATGCTGCAATTATATACAGACAAATTGTGTTTAAATAAAAACTTTATATTGTATTGTATTCCAATGTATATGATTGTGAGCAATTTTAACCATCATTTTGCAAAATGTTTTAAAAAGTTTTAATAATACAAATTTAAATCAAGTTTTGTAAAGAAACATTAATCAAAGAGAACCATAATTACAGAATATTTGATTTGTGATTTGATTGAAAATATGATCAATTTGAATTGTACTATATTTTTAGAATTAATTGTGATTTACGGTACTGTATGCTTTCTAAAATTCAAAACATTCTTACAACTAAAATATTTTCTTAGAACAACAACAACTCTGTGTCAGGTTTTTCTTTGGCATGAATCTATTGTATCATGAATTTTTTCTGTGTTGGTGTAATGTACTCACTCAGATGAATATGATGCTTGTGATGTTACTCTGAGTGTATATCCACACTGGGCAAGCTTGAAAAATATGCCTGGCTACGGTGGGAATTGAACCTATGACCTTTGGAATACTAGCGCAATGCTCTGTGTCAGGTTGGTTCGAGAATGTAACATTTCGGAACTAAGTCTAGCTCCCTTGATATCGATGCAATCTAGCAAGCAGAGTAACATCACAAGCACTATTGTATCATGTTTCCCTGATGGGTTTGAAATAGAAGTTGAAACACTGTTGCTATCATAAAAATAATGTTTAAGTTGATAAGTTGCGAGAATATTTTGTGCGCTTAACACATTGAGTGTCAGCACTCTCCCCCTGACAAGTAAAATCATCTGGCGTTAGACGATTATGAAAAAGTAGGGTGCATCTGCCGTGGGTGCATTGCCACTTAAAGGGTTAACAGGATGCATCATGGGCAGATACTGCCAGATAATCTTATTAACCAACTGAGTGGCAGCACTCTCTCCCTGAGTCCCTGACAAGTACAGTAAAATCGTCTGGCGTTAGACAGACTAAAATAATATTAAAGTAGGGCACATCTGGGCACATTGCCACTTAAAGGGTTAATTAATGGTAGTGCTGTTTCATCTCTTGCTCCAGTTGCTTTAGTCAGCTCAAATCTCTGGCTCTGGCTGTACCAGACAATGTTCAGCTCAATTTTGTCCTCATGTGCAGTAAGCTGATGTGATGCAGCGTATCAATGAAAGCATGACGCTTGCGATTTACAACTTTTCCTGTGATAGATAGAGCACAGACATTAGTATGACTTATTGCAACTTGGCTGTTTGCAGTAGCCAGAAATGATGAAATGGTTTGACACAACAGATATGACTTCAGATTATATGTATACTTTCAACAAGCATGCATGTTACCATTATTTGTAACCAATGTTAATTCTACGAAATTGTCACGTTTCTTCAGTTGTCATTTTGACTTTCCAGCCGGAGCTGGGAGAGAGAAAGCACCTCAACTCCAGCTCGCCAAAAAACACTGGAGCTGCAGCATAACTCTAGTCTTTGGTGCTCTAGCACAAAGCACTAAAATTTGGACTTTAGCATGTGCTCTCCCCAGTTGACATGATAGCTCAATTGGTAGAGTGTCGGCCCAAGAATCCCAGGATCCATCCCCATTGGCCGGATTCTATGTAAAAATCAATTTTCTATTCCTGCCCACATCAATGTTGCTTGATAAGAGAAATGATCAGCATAGACTTATTAATGTAATTACATCATTTGGTCAACAAAGCAAGTGACTAAGTGAGTGATGTACAACAGTTACTACTGTAATTCATTCATGTGGGAAATTAATACACTGCATCCTCGTGTCATGTAAGGTGGTATGATCGAGGTTGTAGTCAGAGAAAAGTTGAAAGAGACAAGATTACTAACAAATGGTTGCAGATAAAAGTGTATTCAGTCTGTAGAACACAAAGTCAGGAAAGAACTCAAAACAACTACCTGAAAAATACAAGGACAAAGTTGACGTTTCAAGCAAATGCCCTTCATGCTGAAACGTCGAAGTTCTCCTTGTATTTTTCAAGTACTGTAGTTGTATCCCTATCAACCTGCAGCTTTCTTATTATCAGCATTACCTACACACGCAAAAGTCTCGCATCTTGCAGCAAGTCTGCCAACAAGTTGTCTTCGCACTGCTTGTCCCAAGTTGTCAACAAGTTTGGAACAAACTGTTAACAACTTGTAACAGCCTTGTTGATATTATCAGACTTGTTGCAAGGTTGTTCCAACAAGTCCGATACAGCCATCTTTTAACAATATTGTTACAACCTTGTGTCATCAACCTTGTAACATTCTTGTTATATCATGACTGTATCAGACTTGTCAGAACAACCTTGTAACAAGTCTGATAATGCCATCAAGCTTGTCACAAGTTGTTAACAGCTTGTTCCAAACTTGTTAGAACAACTAGGAACAAGCAGTGCGAACACAACTTGTCGACAGCTTTTGAACAGATATGTAACAACTTGTTTGCAGACCTGTCACAACTTGTGCGTTTTTACGTGTGTACTCTGGCACAGACCATTCAAGAACGTAAAGCCACATATAAGAGCAGCCCATAGAGTGACTTTATTATGGTTAGGAAATGTATCAGTGAGTGAGGAGAGATGTCGTGAACGCAGGTGATACTGTACCTGATGAAGCCATATGATGAAGCAGCATGTGACCCTCACGTGCAAATGCGGGGGAAGACGTTGGCCAAGAAATTAAGAAGCCTCAAAAGATCAGAGTATAGAAGAAGCTGTAGGAGAGGTGAAAATGAAGTATACAGAGGAGGTTGCCAGGGTAATGGAGAACTTTGCATACAGAATATATAGAGAGTATACATCAGGTGATAAAGAGCATTCATTTTGATCCTTATCAGAAACTTGGAGGATGCTCCTTGTGGAAAGGTCAGAAACAAATATAAAAAAAGAGGAGGTGAAGACAATGATGAATCATCATGAATGGAGTGAAAAGTGTCAAGTTAGGAAGACCTTAGGAAGTAATCATAAACATGGTAAAATCCCAAGGTCAGAGCCCCAGATTCAAGAAAAAATCACAAAAGATTGGGAAAGCCTGTCAGTTAAACCCGACTTCAAAAAGAAAGTAAATTTCTTACAAGATCACATGAAGATCTATGGAGGGGTCGTTGATAAAAGACTGAGAGAGTCAGAGAGATGGTGAAGATCAATGAAATGCAAATGAAAAAAACGAATCTCAACATTCGAGATAGGCATTGTACTGTGCACGGTTACCCAAAGTTAAAGGCCAGTTTCCCCCTGTTGTCTCCTCGCTGCCTACGGGCCTGCTGGGGCTTCGAACCTGGTTACAGGTAGACTCCTACAGTAAGCAGTAAGCAGTAAGATTCAATATGGCGACCAAAGTGCCAACCCTCAATTTACAGCTGCTACGTTCATGTTAATAAGTCATCATACAAAAATGAGTCGGTTACCATACATGTATAATTAAAAACAACTCAGAAGCACACGTTCACAAAAACAAAAATTTTATTCTACAAATTCAAATGAAAAAAATGCGAAATTTGACAAGTTAAAATGGTAGGTAGAACAGTTTACCTCCGACAATTAGAACAGCAGAATTAAATACTATTACAATATTTAAAGTATTTAACGACTTATTTGTTACAAGTTAAAATGGTCGGTAGAACAGTTTACCTCCGACAATTAGAACACCAGAATTAAAAGTCTTTAACGACTTATTTGTTACAAGTTAAAATGATAGGTAGAACAGTTTACCTTCGACAATTAGAACAGCAGAATTAAATAGTATTACAATATTTAAAGTCTTTAACGACTTATTTGTTGCAAGTTAAAATGGTAGGTAGAACAGTTTACCACCGACAATTAGAACACTAGATTGAATAATGACTTAGTTTTTGGTAGTTCATGGACTTCCCCATCTTTTAAAGTTACCTGGTTTATCGTTGTATTCTGCATGGTTGACTTCATTATTATGGTTAATTTTAACCACTTTTCACACAACCAGACCCTGTTCGTTATATACTGGAATTATAATCCTGCTATTAATACCAGTTTTACATTCGTTTAATAGAACTAAAGTTACACTCGATCATGTACTCACGGCAGGTGTCCTCAATAGAAGCATGGAATTAGGACGGGTTAACTTTTGACGTACGAAATCGACAACGTTTCAGTACTTTCTCTCCTTCATTACGTAAAATCTTGTTTCGCCAGAAAAACAGAAAACAATTGAACGTGGAATCCAGGCTGATTGCAGTGGCTGCCCACAGGTAACACGACATAAGGATATCATCATTGAATGTTGAAAATAATTTAAAGCAATAGTAAAAGATTGAGGGAATACAGCAACAAAAGAAACATAAAACTGCTAACAGACATGTCGAAGCATTTTTGAAGTTCACTGCACTTCTTTTGTCAGTTCCATTGCGTCTAGCAGCCATGGCGATCACGAACATTTTGCAGTTCATGAAAAGTATCGAGGCAAGGTATATTACAAGTACGATTGTTATACCAATAAAGTATGCTGCAGTCGGTAGAAAGGCTTGTACTGTCGTTGAGACAACCTCTGCGAGCTGAAGTGTTACTAGTACAGCTACTAGACGTCGTTTAGTCACCGAACGTCTGTGGAATAAAGGATGAGCTGTGGCCAGATATCGTTCGATAGTCATGGTGAGAAGTGCTATGGACGATAACCCAAATAAAGCATTGTTTATCCATCTGAAAATGTACTCTCTTTCCAATATGCCATGATCTTCCATTGCCCAGGCTATAGCTAGGCGAATTATAGAAGGATGGTTGACAATGACCACAATTAGATCGCAACACGACAAAATGAGAATCAAGAAATAACATAATTTCTTTCGAAGCTGTGAAGACTTCCAGAGACAGAGTATCACCAAGGAATTGAGAATTGTCCCTGCAATGGTGAAGACACCATTCACAACACACAAGAATACAACGTTAATTAAACTGCCTTGTACCATATCTTTAATAGACAATGAACAATTCAATAAAACTGTATTGCGTCGTATAACATTTCAATAACAAAGTGTAACATGATTGATGGACACTCTGTCTATATCACTCCGTTAAGTGTGGTAACAGTTGTATAATCAACTACACATTCAGAGAATCATTAAATTGATTCTTATATTGCCTCCACGATCAGAATGAATATATAAATCCCTTGGGATTGGATTGCTTTTCATAATAATATAAGCAAAAATTTTAGAAAATTTCTTAGAACTAAAAGTAAAATAAAAAGAACAACATCTGGTTGGAATTGTCAATAAGTCCCTAAACACTGCGGTTTATGTTCTTGTGATGCGTGAATGTGAAAACGGCATGTTGTGCAGGTGCACGAGCAAGACATCACTCTGACGAAACTCCCACTCGGACAGACGAGAAATATTCGTTTAGAAGATAATTTCTTATGTAGCTGTAATTCTTTAGCGTATTGTTAACTTAGATAACTTTAAAATTACATTTAGTCTGACTGCACACAAATCGGCTTGTTTGGGCTCCCCCGATTAATCATGCTCATTTCCAGACCACTCAGCTAATGACATTGGGCAAGCTTCAGATGGACAGCCGAATGGCAATATTCAAATTTTCAGTAAAACTGTCCTTGCCTTATTAAAACAGTGAAAATATTCAGTTAGCGTTGCCTGCTCTTTACAAGAGGGAAGAGCCTGGGGACGAGGTTGCGACGAGCGACGTCACTCACCACATAGGAATGAGTTATATATATGCAAGGAGAACTGGATAATTTCAGCCAATTATTTACAATAAATTCATGCAATTCTAACCATGATTAGGCTCCCTATGTTTTCATCAGTGGTTTTTATCTATGATTCCATGTGGGAACCGTTGAGTGCTTAGCACACGTGTTTCTTTGCTGGCGTGCTGTGATTAAGTAATTTAGTACCTTGAATTGAATGACTTTATTAATCATAAGAATTGGATGAGATTTTTGTGAAATGATTTGGAGTTTAATTTATAACCTTAGATTCTGGAGTTACGACCACAAGTTTGTTGGGGAGTTTGTCTCTGTTCAAGTGATCCCTGGCACCACCCTGCGTTGCAAGATAATACTGCCTTCAGTCATATGATGTCATTAGATCAATTGTAAATGAGTTTTCCCGCATGTGTTCTTCGTTTTAGTACTAGAATTCACCTAATGACATCATATTCGGCAACGTCGTAAATTGTTACGACTCAGGTGCTGACCTGAATCAAAAATCGCATGTTAGGACTTACCAACACCCTTAGAGAGATGCCTGTTTTCTGCAAACAAACAAACAAACAAACAAACAAACAAACAAACAAACAAACAAACAAACAAACAAACAAACAAACAAACAAACAAACAAACAAACAAACAAACAAACAAACAAACAAACAAAACAAACAAACAAACAAAACAAACAAACAAACAAACAAACAAAACCAAACAAACAAAACAAACAAACAAACAAACAAACAAACAAACAAACAAACAAACAAACAAACAAACAAACAAACAAACAAACAAACAAACAAACAAACAAAGTTAACACATCTTTCTTCTACTTTTATAGCCACTATTTTGTGCGGACCCTACTCAGGTTAGTGCATGATGTATTGTCATACCATGCATACACGTGGATTTTCTGTTAAAGTACTACTAACACCAAATATGATTTTTTGTTTGCGTAATATTTGAGAGATTCTAAGAAATGTAATATATCATTATACCACTATAGCTCATCTTGATCAACTTTTTGATTGACAACTCTACCGGATATGATGTCATTAAGTGAATTCTAGCAGCGAAGAACAAAAAGTGAATTCTTTTACAATTCTTCTAATGACGTCATATCGTGCAATTATGATAGTTGATCAGGATTATCTTTTTATTATAATGATGTGAGTAGTACATTTCTTCTTTAAATGACCCAAATATTACACATACCAAAAATCATATTTGGGGTTTACACTTCAATATTTCTTATATAATGTTTCTGTTTTCTTTGATAGTATCAAACTGATGCCTGTCTAAAACGATTTCTGAAAGCATTCTTGACAGTGGACCAGGCTTTTGAAGCCCTTGTTAAATATATAAAATGGCGAATGGAGTATGCTGTTGAGACATTGAATTCCTCTCATCCTGATATTCAGACTGATTTGTCAACAGGGAAAGTTCTTCTACCAAACTTTAAAGATAAAGCTGGAAGGTATATACCATGTTATATTATGCTTTCTATCTTAATTTGTTTTAGTAGTATCTTTGTTTGATTGAAATAGAGAAGATGCATGATTCAGAAGTGATTCAGAAGTCAGTAACGTGAATTATTCATACTTTGACACTTATATACTAGATATAACAAAACACTTATTTATTGAGACCTCGGGAAAGCAGTGTGTTTTGTGGCCCCTCGACCGCCGTCTCGGGTCCACAAAACACACTATTTCCCTCGGTCTCAGTAAATAAGTGATAAATATATTCATTGGTTGCAGTAACTGTAAGCGATTTGTTACAGTTACTGCGTTGAATAAACAAATGCGTTGTTTTATTTCTCTTCAGGCCTGCCGTTTTCGTGTTTGCCAGACATCATGATGCATCCTCACGAAATTTAGACCAATTAACAAGATTTATTGTTTACGTTATTGTGAGTAACCTTCGAATCATTATAGATGACATGTGATGCTGTTGCAGTTGTCTTTTACATATGTCAAGGCTTGACAAATCTTTACACTTGCGATTAATTTTTCCGCGATTTTCTTCTGATGGATCAAACTATATGAATAATTTGTCTTGATTTGCCGGGATGGGTAATAAATACAATACTTACCTTAATTTCCTGGCTGGGTATGCACTGTACATTCTCTGAACGCCACAGGCATCTCGTAGTTCACCTGGATTGCTTCAATTTTTGCCCGCAACCAAATTGCGACCGATGCCAACGGCTACGGATCATCAGTCTGACAGATCATCTGTCTCAGTATAAACATTAGACGAACTATCCAGACGAACTGGCTGGAATAGCACGATCTATACTAGTAAAGGTCCTGGGAACAACAGGTGGGAAATCTGCTGTCGCTGGTCAGTAAATTTTGGGCGTAGCAGCTAGCGAAAAGTTTTAAATTATTAAAATAAGCAAAAACAAGATTTTGAGCTTCTCTTTTGGAAAGGAACCGTGGATGTGCAAGAATTTAAGTTCGTTTATTCAAAGGCTATTGAAAAATGTCTGGGATAAGAGACTTTCCGTTGCAATTTTATACATTAAAAAAATGTGTGTCTCTGAACGTTCTCATACCTTCCTCGCCTTCCCAATAATGCAATAGATTAACAATTTTTGGTTAGCAGAGAAAACGAGACTAAAAACGCCAATACAACGCTCAAAAATTACTATGTATTTACTCGCCTCAAGTCTCTTTCTCTTAAACCGCGCAAATTGTAGCGCATGCGCACACAAATTTCCCACCTGTTCCTGGGAACAAACCATGTTTGCGAAACTCCGCTGAATACAGGTAACGAAGTACCGGTTTTCCTAATTGTTCGTCTTATGCCTTATTTGTACACACAGACGGATCATACAGTACGTCAAGACGAACTACGCGTGCAAGTTCGTCTGATTAGACCAGGGCGCATTCTCGTGCCCAGAGCAATCACAACTGATGGCTCTGGGTACGAGATTGCACTGGGTACGATTGACCAACGTTGATTAGACGAACTACGCAGATAGCTCGTCTTGCTGGATGATTCGTCTGTTTGCCCGCGTTTATACATCGACGAATTATCAGACGAACGGTATCTTGTTTTGCCCACGTTCGCCCGGACGGATGATCTCTAGTAGAAATCTGGCCATTGTATGTGTTAGAAATATTAACCCTTGTGAATTTTCGTATATGATATTTCCAGGAAACAGCAGCTGCCAAATGTGACGAGAGTGTAATCGATAATATTTGTATCTTGTTTGACCTAAAGGTAAAATACTAACAGTATGGAACATAGAACAACGCATGGAATAGCAGAAACATGCTATTGAACCTTTTTCTACTGGGTAGAATGACATTGTTTTTTGAGTATCTCTCATTGCAAAATTTGATGAGAGTGTCAACAATTTGCATCCTGTTAAAGATATGTAGCACGAAACAACATATAATATACATGGCATGGCATACAGTACCACTGTCCCAGCCACTAGGAACGTCTCACTGAACTTTTTGATTGGCGCTGTCTCCCATTTCTGTACGAACCAATACTAAAAAATTGTTTTGCCATCAGACGGATTGACATTAATTGTTTTTTCGGCCTTTCATTAATACCTAGCTTAGAAAATTAGTCCACGCGGTTGCAACATTACCACGAAGGGCAGGTCTATGGGATATCAGATAAAGATATATCATGTTTTAACTAGTACGTATGTGGTGTTCAGTATATCCATATTACAGTTACATATACGTGCAATATTAACATAAATTTGGTTGTTTTGTAGGGATTTAGCCTAAGCAACATGGATTATGGCTTTGTTAAACAACTAATATGGCTACTTTCACGACGTTATCCTGAAAGATTAGGAAAATGTTTGATTCTTAATTCACCATTTGTTTTCTCAGGATGTTGGCTTGTCATTAAGTTCTGGTACGTTTTTTGAACCAACCTCACTTTCCCACAAACAGGGAATTGTAACAAATGGCGAACCTTGTTCAACCAGACAGGCTATCATATACATGCACTTTCAATTTGTAAACATTTGTGAATTTGTCTTTAAAGAAACGAGGCTATTGGAGTGTATGGGCTTATCAAATTTCCTGAACAAATAATTCATGAAATTTTGCGATATTCATAGTACTTGACATGATAAAACGAAAGAAATGTCATCTCACCTGCGTGAGTACAAGGTCTGAGTAGAGCTATTTTAATGAACAGTTGAAGGGTTGTTGTAGATGACATTTTCGAGTGGAAATTTTATACATTTTTAATTTAAACCTAACCAAGAGCAGGCTAACCAAAAGTCATGATTATAAAATACGTAGGGCTATATACATTCACTAAATTCTTCCTAATCGTATTGTTCCATTTCATAGCAAATTTGATAATAAAATTGTTTCGAGATCTATTAGTTTTATAGGTTGGCAACTGGAATTGCATTCCAGAGGACTGGGATCTAGTATTATAATGGTTAGATAAGTGGGTGGTAAAAGGTCATGTAGTTTATGATTTTGCTTGATGATGTTGGAGAAAAACATGTCACATAGGTGTTCCAATCTCACACATAGCTGAGGGATACTGCAGCAAGATCTAAGGCATCTCGGTAAAACTAGTATTGGGGAAAATTATTCGCATGATCCTGCGTTGGATGGATTCAATTTGTTCTCTAAGGTATTCAGTAATACTGTAAAACCATGCAGGGCAAGCGTACTCTAATATTGTTCTTACACACGTTGAATAGAAAGTATAATGCTGTTCTTACACTATCTGCAACGCCTGCCCTTTTCAGAAGTCTCACAGGGTATATTCGCCTTGCAGCTTTCTTTGTTATCATATTGATATACTCATTCCACTTAAGGATTGATGAGGCAGGGCCGAAGGCGAATTTGTGCCAGAGGGCCTATACTAGTTCCATGCCTGGTTAGGTCTAAAAATGAATAAAATTTACACCAAAATTTCATGTCAAGTGAGATGTCCAGTATCCTGATAATTTAATGAATATACACTTAATGTCTGCTTCCTCAGGAAATAGTTGATTTTGTTTTCCCTCGAATCTCCATTTTTCCCTCGACGACATCTTTTGTTATATAGCGACGAAAGAAAGGTCAACAACATTCATACAACAATTGTATTTCATGACAAAAACTGTATAGTGTAAACGAGTTAAAAATTAAAAGAACCTACTTAAACGGCTTCAGCAGCATATCCTGTTGCCTGTTGTGTATTTTTCTTCTCTTTTATACATTCTTTATTTTAACACAAACTTGGAAAATCGTAGTTTGTAAACTTGACGGAATACGTTGCATTTATCTAAAGCCACGTAACCACAAATCAGCCAATCACGTTTGGTGTTCACCCTAGCTATATAACAAGAGCATTTGTTCTAGCAGTCTGTTACTCTGGTTCACTGTTGGTAGTTTCTTTTTACAGGTTGAACGAAGTAACAAGATCGAAAATTATATTTATTAGAGATAAAAATCACCTTGAAGAATACTTTGACCAAGAATACATCCCATCAACTTTGTTTTGATGAAAAATTAGATGAATGATCAATGGTAATTTTAATTGTAGATCTTATTTAAGATAATCGTATTTATGAGTATTCTGTTATTAGACTGTTATTAGAGCAGAGTATAGATATATTTATTTCAAACATAGGTATAGAAGTGTAAAATATTTAGAGTCATGGGATATTAACCAATTAAATTTTAGTGTTTTTACACTGAATTGTCTGCGGGAACATTTACCGTTAAAGCACAATAAGTGACAACCTCGTACCCAGGATCTTTCTTTGGGAAAGACCCTGGCTGCGGCTGGTCACGTGCCTCATCAAAAATTTAGCACCTGAGGGGGTGTGGGGAAAGTATCAAATTACATAAACATGCTTCGAGTGGAATATTCGTTAAAAACATAAATTTTGCGAATTATTACGTTCAAAATCCTTGCTAATTTTGTTTATTTTCTTTTCTTTGAAATTACAAGAACATTCTTACATTCTTACTTACAGTCAAGTCAAGAAACAAAGCAAATCGCTACTCGCAGTATGTGCTCGACTCTCGTGTTGTTATTCAATGCATGCTCTCTTCACAATCGAGCGCGGTTATAACAAACCTTTTAATATTGTAATGTTTTTAAAATACGCCATTACATTCGTCCTTTCTTGTAAACGTTGATACGCTTTGTACCGATTCACTTGTTACTACGCGTCTTGTTTATAAGATTTTTAAAAGAAACAGTATTGTCTAGGACTGACCCAATATTAGCAAATGTAAACATTTGATAATAGCCGAACAGAGAAATGTCTATAAGTATAGAGGAAATTTCAGTCATTGGTTTATCTGGATTTAGTACATAATTCGTATTCGGTAATTACAGTAGAGTAAGACTTTAGCCTTTTTTTGGTCTCTATTAATCATTATATTGTGTTAACATACTATAATCTATATCACAAAGTTACAGTGTCAGATGCGCACAGACCGTCATTGGCATCATACGAATAGACATAAATTTTCGAGTTTTCTAGCGTACTCCTACTAACATTTTTAAACATATACTGAATAATGTGACATATACTGAATAATGCGTTTTATACACACAAGCAATCCTGGATATGATATAGACGATGCAAGCTGTCCATTAAAAAATAACGGTATTCTATTTCAGAAAGTCAAAGCAAAAATTTAAATCTCACTTGTATTATTAAGAATGCATATACAGCAAAAAATTAAAGCTTATTCATGTCAAAACGAAAGCTGTTTACAAAATTTATAAAGGTGGTGAACACTACTAAACAGTGCTCATTGAAAGACATGTATAATATAGTGACATATAATTTGTCGTTTGACCACAGTTAACTGTGGTTTGACTTATCTTTGGTGTATGATTTTAATACCGTACAGGGCCTTTTTTAAGGATTTTCCTGGGGGGGCATTTTTTGAAAAGGGACCTTTCTGTGAGACAATATATTAGAGGGGGATAGCAATGGCTGAAAACCACGTGTCTGGCCAATATACCACGCATGAATGGGGGGTCTGGGGTGTACTCCCCCAGAAAATTTTTGAAATTTGAATCCCGGAAATGTCATTTTCTGCATTCTGAGCATCCAAATTTGCTCCAAAATTTATTCTAGCTATACTTGTATTTGAAATAAATAAAGGAAAAAACGCACAAAAAGTTAAAAAAAATTAACCATCATTTATCATTACTTATTAGAGGAGGATAGCAATGGTCACATGTGTGGGGCCATACTCCCCCAGAAAATTTTTGAAATGTGAAGCACGGAAATGCCATTTTCTGCATTCTAACTGTAATTTATCATTACTTATTAGAGAGATAATCCCCAGAACATTTTTGAAATTTGAAGCACGGAAATACCATTTCCTGCATTCTGAGCATTCAAATTTGCTCTAAAATTTATGCTAACTATAGTTGTATTTGAAATAAAAGAAGGAAATAATGCACAAAAGGTAAAAAAGAATATTAACCGTAATTTAGCATTACTTATTGGAGGGATAATCCCCAGAAAATGTTTGAAATTTGAAACCCGGAAATGTTATTTCCTGCATTCTGAGCATCCAAAAAATAAAAAATATTATTATCAATAATTTATAACTACTTAGTGGTGGAGAAACGTAACAATTTAAATCGATTTTGTTAAACAAGAACAAAGGATAAAGCCTAAAACTTACTTTCCGTTTATCTATTTGTTAATCTTTGCTAGATTGTTTGTATAATTTTAGGAAAAAGGGACTTTTCCTGGGGGGGGGGCAAAATGTGATTTCGTGGGGGCAGGGGGTGACTGGGGGGCATTCCCCCCAGCTATGGCGTCAGATTTCCGCCAATATTCATGTTGATATTAATTCAACATGTTTCCGTATTGAAGTGAATTTCGACATTGAACATATCAAATTCAGCATGCCACTTTAATTCAACATTGCTTCAATTTCAGCATGTTTCCCTCATTGATGTTAATTTGAAAATTGAACATGTCAAATTTAAGTGAAATACAACAATGAAGTATAGATATTGAAGTAATTTTCAATGTTGAAGTTTCAAAACATGTTGAAAACGCATCACTACATGAATTTGAGAAGTGAATATTGGCGGTTATATAGCACCGCGTTAAATATCCGCCAATATTAATTAACACTTCGTTAAACTTCCCCCCTGGCATATTCCTATATGACGGCTACGAACGAGCGGAATCAGCGGTGCACTGGACATTATTGAGGATATAATATCGCGATTAGACAGCTAGCCTTGGTGACCCAGATTGTGTAGAGGGATTGGCAATACGATTTCACGTTTTAAAGAGATATCTTGTAAATATTAGAATGGACGACATCTGCATGCACTTTGCCGGGAATTGCTGGGTAGGGTTTGCAAAAATTTAAACCAATTTAAGCAGCGGCAGCGCTATTCCGTCATGATTAACTCTGCATTTCCAGCACAGGTTTATGCCGTGGAAAACCTTCGTAGGTCCTTCGTATGATATACACGATGGGCAATTTTTATAGCGAAGTAAGCAGTATGAAAGAAGTAAGCATGTAAGAAAGTTATGGCTTATGCACATCCTATACACGGCCAACACAATGGTTATGCAGCACTGTATATGTTAAGCCCAAGTCGACAAACCTTGGGAAACTGATGTAAATGTAATGCATACATGTAGATCAATTTTCAGTATTGAAACCACAACTTCCTTATGTGGGGATTGATGTTAGTGAAAAAATCTATACACTGACCTCTGAATTGACGAAGACTGATCAGGTCGTTTGCCGACCTTAAACGAAAACAGAACTGCAAATTTCAGTTTTCAATAAAATTCAAGTTTTCATGAATTAATCCAAAATGCCAAGTTCCTGGAGTGGACGAATGACTGCACTGGCACCAACCGCCCTGCTGCCACTGACATGGTTTTTTATGTCTGCTCAGCATATTGCATTACTAAGCTAACCTTTTTCTTCAAACGGTAAAAAATGAAGTGCAGATGAAAAATGTAAATACCTAGATATCTTCGTTCTCATTCTATGCGGTAGTTCTGTATAAAACTTAATGTGCAGTCAATCATATTAAATCCTGATGATAAGACGCTATATATACATGTACAGCACGTGTTGCATATATAATAGAGAGGTTAAGATACCCCGGTTTCGGTGTACGTGTACGGGTAGCATGATTTTTGTTAGCAATATTTTCGTCGATGTCTGTACCTTTACTCGTAATTAAGGTGCACATTTTTCGCATTATATCATTGTCTATTGCAAGAAAACAGAAAAAGTATGATCGAATTACAGACATCAGTAAACCAAGATGACACTACTCGTACCCGTACACCGAAACCGGGGTATCTTAACCTCTCTAATCACTGTGTTGGCCGTGTAAGATGTGCATAACTTTCTTACATGACACACTCGTGCCAAATGACCTCATTCGCCGCTCCAAAGTTAGCGTACACCCATCATACTGCTTACTTCCTATAAAAAATTCAATTGCCCATCGTGTATATCATACGAAGGACCTACGAAGGTTTTCCACGGCATAAACCTGTGCTGGAAATGCAGAGTTAATCATGGCGGAATAGCGCTGCCGCTGCTCAAATTGGTTTAAATTTTTGCAAACCCTATCCAGCAATTCCCGGCAAAGTGCATGCAGATGTCGTCCATTCTAATATTTACAAGATATCTCTTTAAAACGTGAAATCGTATTGCCAATCCCTCTACACAATCTGGGTCACCAAGGCTAGCTGTCTAATCGCGATATTATATCCTCAATAATGTTCAGTGCACCGCTGATTCCGCTCGTTCGTAGCCATCATATAGGAATATG